TCCAGAGCTTCACAGAGGAGACACTGGTTTCCAACTGGATACAACACTGCGACATTGAGGCAAAGTCTGAAGACAGCTTATATAGTGGATCCTCTGATGATGGTAATGAGCAGCAGCTGTGCAGGAGGCTCTGCTCAGGAGGATCCACGGCGGACTCTGCTGGAGAAAGGTGGTACTTCTCCAGCTCCCAACAGTACCCCCCCCCTCAAGGGCGGATTCCAGACGCTTCAGACAAGACCTAGGGAAACAAGGGAACAAAAAACAACCCACCAAGGGTGGGCGCAGGAGGCACCATACTAGGTAGGCAAGAAGTAGAGTCCATAACAAAAAACCAACCCACCCAGGGTGGACGGAGGGGAAAAGAAAAAGACAAAACTGAGTCCCAGAACAAAAAACAATCAACAAAAGGTGGACGTCAACAAAGAAAGTCTCAGATATTTTACCGGGAGACACCCGGTAGCGGCTCAGAAAAAGGTGCAGGGCGGGGCCGCCCATTGCGGCACCGGAGCTGATTCAGAGGAGACACTGGTTTCCAACTGGATACAACACTGCGACATTGAGGCAAGGTCTGAAGACAGCTTATATAGTGGATCCTCTGATGATGGTAATGAGCAGCAGCTGTGCAGGAGGCTCTGCTCAGGAGGATCCACGGCGGACTCTGTTGGAGAAAGATGGTACTACTCCAGCTCCCAACAGTAATCACTTTGAAATAGTAATGTGAATTTTTAGGAATTTTTGAAGGTAACTCAGCAGTTTTAATCTAGCGTAGGCCGTAGTGAACGCTGCAATAAAGACGTTAGTTTTGTTTGGGGGGCTAATAGATTTTTTTGTCCATCCCCATTGAACAAGCACGTTTTCAGGATTCAGAAAGTGAAAATATTTCACATGTTTGTTCCCTGAAAACAACAGTTCAAAAAATTCCTGCAGATCTGATAAGATGCTGGTCTGTGTCTGATCATTTTTCTGAGCAAACTTTCCCCAAAGACTATTGAGACATAACTTTGCCACTTGTCTTTTTGCCTGATTTGTCTCCATTTTTGAATATTCTAGTTGAATACCTTCATTCTTCAGGAAGTCAGCCATGTATTGCTGTTTCCCCTCTTCATCGCTCACGTCGGTGGGAAAACCTGATGATTCCTGTTTGCACTTTTGAAAAGTATTTATATATTGGTCAAAAATGTCATTACTTTGTTTTTCAAAATGTCATACAGCGAGGATCTTTTGAAACTTATATCCGTGCTGTAAAGCATTATTTAGCTCCAAAGAAACCCAGGTTCCCTTTAGGGGTCTTTCGTCTTCATTGTGATTGCACGGTTCTTTCTGGTTATTGATTTGAGCACAGGAGCGGCACAGAGTGAAAACCAATTTACCTTTTTCGGTCTTAAAGGGAAGAATTGGAAAGAGCAGACCTCGTGGTGGGGAAACGATAACTTTGATGAACCCGAAATATTTTGTGGGATCGTCAAAGTTGTCATAAATGATCTTTGGATGCCCTACAGGGAAGTAGTGCATTTTCATAACGGAGGGATATAACGAGATGACGTCTTGGTAAGCCACAATCTCATCTGGAGCGGCAGAATATTTCAACGTGACAGCGTTGGTTCTGCCTCCAAACAGAGCATCTCTGGGGAACAGAGGTTCAGGTAGGGAACTGTTCTGAGTAAATTCTTTAACAGCGGTACAGTTTCTTTTTTTTTTCTTCCCAATCATGCTCCCAAATGACTTCAAGTTTTAGACCATGAAGCGATTCCAGAATCTGCTTTCTTTGGAGGGTGGATGCAAAGATTTCTTCATAGCTCGCACCTCTTAAAGGACAAATGGACAAAGGGTTAAAATAGGAAGGGCAACCGTGGAACAGACAGCCAAAGTATTCAAAACCGTACCTGAAGTCGCCTATTTCGGCGTAACCGTCCAAAAAATACGACCCTACTCTTTTCTCCCCTAAATTAAGGCCGTGTTGGATGAAGATGTTTCTGGAAAAAGCTAAGTATTCCAGCTATTCAATCGAACCGTTTGAGTACGGCTTTGTCTATCCACGATACCCCAGCGGATCAGGTATTGCCAGCGTATTTGAAGTCAGGGGAAATTTGCCTGAAAAGTCTTCACGCACGCCGAGGCGATTGTAATGTGAGAAAATGGATCTATATGGGTATCGCTAAAGAACTGCTCTCTAAATTTTTTGCAGCCTTGAGAAAGGATTTCAACATCGTTTTTACAGTAGTACATTGCCTCTTTTTTAAAAGAGAATGGAGAAGCAGAAGCATATTTGTACCAGTTCAACAACTTTTCTTTTTCAGGCGGTGACATATTTTCTATTCCATAGGCCTGGGGTGGGGGGAGTGGGCCGACGTATTTCAAATTTTGTTGGGATGAAAATTTGTGTGGAAAGAAACCTTTACTTTTATCACTAAAGCCTAAAGCTTTTGGCATGGCACTGAGTTTCATAGGTAGAAATGAAAGACTATCTATAAAATTTAAACCATAGTCTGGGTCGATAAAACAGAGAATTTTACAACCTTGCATAATTATGTGAGGTTTTATACCCATCTGAACCATTGCATTCAGAACCAAATAATAGTCAACAGATCTACCGTTTTGCGCCAAAAAGACAAATTTGGAAAACTTTGGTCTTCAAAAGTGGAGAATAAAATCTTGAACTTATTTCAGACCAAAGGAGGACCATTCTTTTCCTGATGAATCTTTTGCACGGAGGAGGAAAGGAACATGTTTGCTTTCCTCATTAACAAAGGTCTCAATGTAAAAAAAAAAACGAATTTCTCTTCTAGTTTTTCATCTTTCTGACAGGGTTGAACCAAACACTGGTGCTCTCCCTCACCCGAATCTGGAGATATTTTCTCTCCGCATATGTGACATTTTCGAGGTAGACATACATGGCATTTGCCCGGAGTAGAGATGGGAACATAATATTTTCTTTCACATTTTATACATAATTTATGTATCTCACAATTACTGGCCCGTGTTTTTGCTTTCGGTCTTTCTTTTTTGATTTTATGTTTCGCATAACAGGTCTGATTGCGGCAAGTCAGATTGCAGCTGGGGCAAAAAACTGGTGAGGATTCAAGCTGAGTACAGCCTGGATCGTTGCAGACAGGACAATAACCCCGACAGCAATGTCTGTCTTTATTTACATAAGGGGAAAAGCAATAATCGCATACCAATTTTGCACCCAGAAAACCTGTTAAGAATTTGATTCTGTAATAATGTTGGTTAAATAGAAACAAGAAAAGGGGTCTTGATCTGTCTGAAAAATTTGTCTCAAATTTAGACAGAGGGCTTTCCTTTACTGAGCGATAATATATCACAATCTTTCTGTTTAAGGTTTCTTCAAATGTTTTGACATCTGAAAAGGAAGACTGGTGTTTGATCAGAAAGTCCTGCCTGCCTTTGCTACGCTCTAGCCTGATGACAAACCTCTATGAGGGAGAGATTTGAATATGCTAAACAGGCTAAATTTTTTGCAAAGCAAAGTTGATCGCCGTCATCATTAATCACAATTAAATGTCTTCTCTTTCTTTTTATTAATTCTTGGTCTACAATTTTTTCAAGTTTTAATATGCCACCCCCATGAGGATTCCGAATCAGCTGGAGAATGAATTCTATGTTATCCTCTTCGATTAATTCCAAATTATATTGTACCAAAGTATCCATACATTTTTCAAGTTCCTCCATGATATTTTCCCCATTATCATTTATAGTAAAGTTTGTGTGATGAGACCCTTCATTGGATACTAGTTCAAGTTGTATGACATCATTCCTAGATGCGAGCGGTCTTATTCTTTCAGCCAGATTAGATAAAACATTCATCATGCTAAGGAATATTTCTGCTAAATCTCCCTCTGAACCATTCTGATTTAGTGAAAGCTGTTCCCTAATTTCCACATTGTTAAAAATTTCTCTTTTTAGGGTTTGTACTCCTCCCCCACCACCTGATTGAATAACATTTTGAGAAGGAAGGGGATGATTTAATGGTAAAAGAGTTTCATCTAAAGCTGTTCTTTCTGCATGGTTTTGTCTGGATAATTCGCTCAGAGCTTGCTCCAAGCTAATTAAGAGTTCTAGATGATTTTCTTGTTGCAGAGGCGGACTGTGAGAAAGAATTGTATCTTCTAAGGGAGAGGTCGGATTTAAAGTTGAATCAGCATCAATTAAAGGCCTTATATCATCAGCTATATTTCGCAAATTCTGTAAAACCTCTTTAGAGACAAATTTATCTAAAGAATCTGGTTGTGCTGCATTTTGATTTTCACTAGAAGGAGAAACATTCGGAGATGTGTTTGACTGAGATAAATGCGGGTCATACATGTTTATTCACTAGACTTTTTTCATCCAAGAATGTTCCTCATTATGTAACACATATTCACCAAGATGGACAAACGGTAGCCGGGGTCTTCTTGGTTGCCTGGTGAAGACAGAAGCTCGCCGACAGCTGCCAATGCCTGAATAACCATGCGCTCGGGAACCTCTTCTTGGTTGCCAGGTGCAGACAGAAGCTTGCTCACAGCTGTCAATGTGTGAAAAGCCAGGTGTATGGATTCTTCTCTGATGGGAATGCTGGACTGGCCGTTTCGATTTCTTACTGAGGAAAAAATAAAGCGTTTTAGTAAGATTGACTTTTAAAAAAAAAGAAATAAAACTTCATAAATAAATGAAAGGGTATTTACCTTCATTTCTCAGTCTGTTCGTCATAGCGAGAAGGGGTGAGTCTAAGAGAGAAAAAATATATGTATGATTATATCATATTAAAACTAAGAACTATTTATTTATTTACTTATTTTCTTACCAGCGGCTTCATCAGGTCTTGATCTAAAAGTTGGCTGGTCAGATCTTTCATTCAGAATGGATGTGACTGTGAGAAAAAAAAAAGTTATATATTTTTTTATATTCCACATATATATACATATATATATATATATATATATATATATATATATATATATATATATATATTAACCGGCGTAAATTCAACACACGGTGCTAAGATAACATATTTTTAAGCTTACCCGCTCCTTCTTGACTTGTATTTTCAATTAGTTGATCTTCTCCAGCACTTCCTGCTTCCGCTATATCCTGGACGACAGCTTCTACAACATTTCCTGCTTCTGCTATATCCTGGACGACAGCACTTCCTGCTTCCGCTATATCCTGGATGACAGCTTCCGCAGCGCCCCCTTGCGCACTGTGTTGGACCAGCGGCGCTGCAGAAACATGATTATATGGTATTAAAACTAAGAATTATTTATTTATTTTCTTACCACCGGCTTCATCGGGTCTACTAAAAGCTGGCTGGTCAGATCTTTCATTCAGAATGGATGTATCTGTGAGAAAAAAAAAAGTTATAAATTTTTTTTTTTATATATGTCCGCCGTATATTCATCACACCGGGCTAAGATAAAATATTTTTAAGCTTACCCGGTCTGTCCCTTTCTCCATTCGTGTGAAAAACACACCTCGCGTACGCTATATTTTCAAAGTGGACCCGCGGCGCAGTATGAGTGAGCTGGCTGGCTTGATCAGACGGGGTATCGGTTGTCAGCGGCTGCTCTGAACTTTGGTGGTGAGGCGAGAGAGCCGGATGGCTGATCGAGCGAGAGCCTGGGAGCTGAGGAGATGTGTGGATGGGAGACAGAGGACCCGGCTGGCTGACGGGTCGAGACCCAGGGGGATGCGCTGTTGCACGGGGGGTTGACGCAGGAGCCGGCTGGCTGACCGGCCGAGGCGGTTGTTGAGTTGGACGTCTGGTAGCACAAGCACGCGCGGCACACTCGGGCCAGACTGATAGGGGATGAAGCGGAGCTGTTTGGATTGGCGTGGGCTGCAGCGTTCCCTGTAGAGCCGGTGGCTGGGAGGATCTGGGATGTTGCTCAAGTAGGCCACCACTCGCACCGTTTTGTTCGCCCGTCAGAGAAAAGCCTCATAAATAAACTACAGGATTGCTATTATTTTGGGGGAAACTGTTTGGTTTTGGAAGAAATTCTCTCTCTGTCCGAATATTTGAGCGTTGTTCAGCCACTGTGATGGTATCTGGAAAAAAAAAAAGTTTAGTAAAATAATTGTTTTTCTATCCTGTTTTTCATTTACTTTCTTATTAAAAGTCTTACCCAAATCAACGTCTTACAGATGAAAATCGATATCAGAATCTTGAAATAGATGAAAAAAAAATTAGAGCTTTTAAAATGTAAATCAAAGCATATCTTGTTAAAAAGAAAAACTTTTACCTAAAACTATGGTTTGAATTAACGGATTAACTTCCGCCACTACGATCTGCCCTTAAACAAGAAATAAAATACATGAAAAAGAGATTGTATTTATTTCTAATAATGTAGAAAAAAAAACCTACTCACTGTGCTTCATGGTGGAGATCTGTCCGACACTCTTAAAAAAATGGAAATGGAGTCCCCGCGGCATTTGTAGGAGCTTAAAACCCCTACACCTGTCGAGCTGTAAAATTAGATGTTGTTTTAGATAACACTAAAAGCTTGGGGTGTCTGTTTTTTTAAAGGAATAGTACACCCAAAACATGATTAGCCTTCATTTTCTACTCACCCCCATGCTGAAAAACACTCTGGAGTACTTTTTTGATATC